GGATAACACATGGTCGGACCGTACGTGCTTATAAAAGCGGCAGAATCACCTCTCCTGAGTCGTAGGTGAACAGTCATCAGTCGCTAGCTGATGCCCGTTGATTCACCCACCGCTGGCCATGGATGCGATCGGCTATTGCAAATCCGACTCCATGATCACGTGGTGCTGAGGCGGCCTTGCCCACCCTTTAGGATGTGTAGCCAGCACCTGCTTCATACAACTTACCTTGCTCAGCGAGCCGAGTTTCACTGAGCGCTGCGATATCGATGCGGTAACGTACCAGCTCCATCGCGACGAGTGCAGTGCGTCGCTCCGGGCGCTCGCTGGAGTTCCGGTCCAGTAGTGTGCGCACGTTCCAGCACCCGATGCTGAGTGCTTTGTGCGCAGGCATACGATTGCATGGGTGAGCAGTCGCACGCGAGGTGGTCGTTGTGCTTCGGAGGTTTGCTTGAGGGACACCGACCGGAGCCTTTGGCTCAATAGCCTGATCCACATGGCAGTGGGTGATTTGGAGATTTGCTTGTGGGACTCCGCCAGGCATCTTTGGCTCAATAGCCTGACCCACAAGGCAGTGGGTGGTTTGGAGGTTTGCTTGGAGTACTCCGCCCGAAGCCTTTCACTCAATAAACTGACCCACAAGGCAGTGAGGAGCAGATCCAGCTCAGGAATGTGATTGCAAAGACAGATAGGGCTCTGCTTGACGGCCGTCACACGCAGCCTTTGAGGTACTGGAACAATTATTATATGTTTTGCGACCGTAGTAGGATACACACCTGCGACCACGGCCAGACGCAGGTGGGTTTTGGCGGGTTTGCACCAATTTGACCAGGGGCTGCCTGGCTTGAGGCGGGCAGTAGCAAACCATTGAACACCCGGAGATGTCCTCCCACCGTCAGAGACAATGCGTGGCACTCGTGCTCTACGCCAATCGAGCTGTGAGCTTATAACCCGTAGACCTGTTGTCTCCCATGGCTAGGTTTTACGGGAAGTGGGCCATCGACCACTTCCTAACCTACGAAGAGGATGGACTAGGATACTTGCAGGGCCCCCACACCGGACAGGAGAACTACTCGGGTCCTCAGCCAAATCCTTCGATTAAATGTACACAGGAAAGGCAGCGGCTTTAGCACATGGTCAGTTCACTGACTCATGCGGATTGGTGTCCTGGATCTTATCAAGGAGATGGGCGTAACCCAACTCCCACCCAGCGGTCGCCACGAGTAGGCGTCATAGGCATGAGCGCTTGGCACAACAGTAGCAGCAGTGGGTAGACCATCTGTCAGGATTTAGCCATCACCGGCCTCAGCGCACCATAGGCTCTCCCGCCCCATACGACAGTAGTCTTACATAAGAACTCTTCTGTAGCCTTAGGCGTACCCTTATTGCAAATTCGTTTGGCTCTGTAGAGGGGGTTTTGCCTAGACCGCGTTTGTACGAAACTGGGGCGAAGCTAGATAAACGCAGAAACTGACCACTCCAAGTCGATTTTCGGAGGACGATGCACTGAAGTGTGCCATCCTCTCGCCTTCTTATTAGCACGTCCAAAACGGTCAACTGCCCTGCCTTTTACTCTAGTGTCACAGAGGTTAGGGTATGCAGAATTTAAGAGGGCAACAAGTGTTACAAAATGATCGCTACTGTTAAAGACGGATGTCCTCCGCGTATTGTTTACACAGCTTCGCTTCTCTGAGGCCGCCAGCCAGTTTTCTTTCAACAGATCCAGAAAAGTATTCGCCAAAAGTGGTCCTAACGGACTGTCCATTGTGACACCATCGATTTGCACATAAGCAGTCTCTTCAAACCCAGGAGCGCGACCTTGAGGTACTAAGCTAGACTGATCTGATATGCTTAGAACAATCCGAGATGGCGTCAAGTACCGCAAACCAACACGTCGGCATGTTGCGGATGGCATTCAGGCAGTTTGATCCATCTGTTTGTTCGCAGTTGCTTAACACATACCTGCAGCCTCATGTAGAATACGCAATCCAGGCCTGATGGCCCTGGCATAAACAAGATCTCGCAGCACTCGATACCTCACAGCGCCCAACTACGAAGCACGTCAGTGTTGTTTGATCTTCCATATCAACTTAGGCTGATGAGTCTAAGAGTATACAGCGGTCATTATCAGTACCTAGGTGGCGATCTAATAATGGCCTACCAGATTTTGAGGAACTCCAGCTACGTCGGTCGTCACCAATTGCAACTCAGTCAACACGAATTTGAGGGGCCACCAGCTCAAGTTGGCCACGCAATACGGTCGGCTAGAATGTCCGCGAAACTTTTAATCTCCTCCTGTCTGTGAGCTATAGTACGCCATCCCGAATGGCGCCGTTTCTGCCCCCCCCCATTTTATCTGTGTTTGAAAAACGCCTTGACGTTGCCCTAACCCACCTACATTACAGGATAGCCTGTGTAAATCAACACAATGTGACGTACGTTACACAACCAGTTAACCTGCACAATTGAGGTTGGCTCTTTTATGCATTCCTCTTAACACTCGCGAGTCTACCAAAATGCTTTTCGTTTTGTCATTATGTTTTCTTTTCACCATTTTGTGGTTCCAATTCTGGTCATCTTACAGGACATGTAAAGCGTTTGCTTTTTTTATCCGCGCTGCATCATTGTTCCAAATGTACTCCAAGAGGAGCCCTATGGATAGGTTTTGGCTCTGCAAGCATCGGCACAAATCGTCAACTGTCTCACACAGTTGCACTTTGATGAATAATGAATCCACATATATCGAATGCGTCGCTCGACATCTAGCGTCAATCGCTCAACCAGCTCAATGGAATATTTTAATCAATAAACAGACAGCAGGCTGCCAACGGGTTCTAATATTCCCTACCCCAACCACCGGGCAACCTTGTGGTAAGGTGAATTATCCACAACCACGATCAGGCACAATGGAATTCCCACTTTGTGTAACTTCGGAATGCTTCTCATTTTTGTATTTCGGTTTCAGATGCCAGTACTCTGATTCGGAGATACAACCCGCTAGCAAAAGAATTTGAAGGATCCTAGTTACTTGCTTCTCTACCAGGATATTGTTGTCCGGCCTATTGTCCTGCTGGAACTTCCTTCCATCTCCAAAAATCATACCTACTTTCGCAATATAATCTAACTTGTCCATTATTACTGTGCCAGATTCTTTGTCTGGTTGCAGGAATATCACGTGTTCCTTCTATCTCGACTTCTTGATTGTTGTGTAGTGTTCGGCTTTTAAGCAACATTGCTCACTTATCGGAACATTCAGGAACTGGTTCGATACCATCCGGTATCTTCCGCTGATCTAGATGAGAGATCGTAGAGCTGGTCATACAGGCACACAAGATGAAAGTGTATGTTAAGCTTATCAATCCTCCTGGATAGTAGTCTAAAGAACTTCCAACCGTTCACACGTAGACCGGGTCAATGACAGTTTGTTTACATGTTTCTGCATTTCGGTGAGAAGTGCAGCAACGGACGCACGGAACGACAAGCTATACATTCTTCGCAATGCCGTAGTCCTAGTAGACATAAGCTCTTGACAGAAAATATAACATACTTGAGCCAACTAAGCAGCGACGCAACAAACTGGTGCGGATCAACTGAAAAATAGCAACCTTGCCGCGTTTATCGCAAGGCATCTCTTGTAGACTCACCATCACGTAGACAAATTGACCGCGTTTAAAACACTGTTGCGCGACCGAAACCCAAAAATACTAACTACCACCGTGGCCTTACTTATCTCGACCTATCGTCTGAGGTTGTGTACACAGAAACAACCGAAGCAATCTGTTTGATTGCCCTGGTTTTGAATGTTTATTTTAGTCCATTTTGGGTTCCTCACTTTCACTTCTGATTTTTAATGGTATTTCATTTGAAACTATGGAGAGCTATTAAAAGTTTACCAAATTACAATTTATGTCTTTATTCTGTTCTTAGGAAATCAAGAGCATTAGAACGGATCCAGTTTGGTGAGAATACGGTTGGCGGTAGCGAAGATTCGAGGGAAAATCGGTGAGAAAAACCCAGATGATTGAATCCACTGTGGACATGGCTGTGACGACAAGCTCGATGAGTGTGTGGCGCTTTGTGGGATGTAAAAATCCCCATATACACGCACACGTTTTAGCCTATTAGCTCCTTGTTCGTTAGCAATAAAGATTGTGCTTCCCTGTCTTTTGGTTCTCGCCACATGATATTAACAATAGGTGGTCATATATGCAGCTAGTTGGATTGTTTATCCACTGGCTTATGGACACGAGGTTGCTGCGTGCATTTCGAATGGGGCGCTCGGATGCAGACCATGAGTTACTATCTTCTAGCGCAACCTGAGGGGATCTTTAGGCTGCTCTGTCTCAAAAACAACCCACACAGAAGCGGCTATACGTGTCATCAACTGTTGATTTTTCATGTACATTGGATGGACTTGTTACCTCTTAGATATCACTGACGATACCTACAATGACATACAAAGTGCCGGTAATCCGCCACTCTCAGGATTGTATTTAGAGTACGTGATACTCCACATGGCCCAGCCTTATGTTGGCCTGTGAATGTTATCAATCAGAAACATGCATTTCAACCGATTACCTCATGTGAGAATGATAGTAAATAACATCAGTGACTGTGACAGGGGTAGCTAGTCAGATGTTGAAGCGTTCACTTTCAGTTTAAATCGAATGGCCTGCGATATGTGGTTAAGGTGGGCCTCGTACACCTTGAAATAAGAATTCTAAGATTATATATATATATATATATATATATATATATATATATATCAATGGAAGATTTTGAGCTGCAGGACCTGGAACGGTTAGTGAGTGGAGCGCAGGTAGCTTACTACACTTTGTGGACTTGAGCCTGGATGAAATACAACAAGAGTTGCGAGCCTAAATGTTACTGTAAAGTGCATGGGAGTGAATAGCACTAAGGGGCAAATGCTGAGATACTCTTTGTCTGTTGATGCAGACAATTCGAATCAAGTGAACATGAGGAAAATTCAAAAATAAATATACCTGCAAGTGCGACAATTCCTCTTTTAGCATTCTGATTATTTTTGTGCGTTCGTCTAATTCGCAGTTAAGCTCTGCAATCTTCCTTTCTAATGCGCTAGAGTCATAGTCCTTCCGTTCACCTGTGAGACGGCCGATGCGCCGCTCCAGCATCTGAATTTGAAAGTCCTGCAAAAATAAAAAGTGGTTTTCCACTATCTTTTCAAGTGTGTGCTTCTAAGGCAAAATCTTGGAAACATTTCCTAAGAATGACAATTCGCTTGAAGTAACGTTAGAGCGTTCCAAGACCTAATCATCTAGAATGCCAGTAATGTAAGTTTTCTGCTATCTAGGGGTGAAATTTTCATGCAAATTCCAAGATTGTTTTCACACTCATTGGTTATTTCGAGAAAGGTGATGAAGGCACCAACAGATCACTACCAACTGGATGGGTTAAATATCTACTAACGTTACTTGCCTGTTTGTATAATTCTTCATGGTGCCGCAGACACTGGTGGTCTGCTTTTTTCATCTTTGCGTTTGCCATGCGAAGAAACGCGTCTGCTCCTTGGAGACTCTGAGTAAGTTTCTTCTCTTCAGTATTCACCTCTTCCAATCTCTAGAAGAGCAAACCATGACCAACAAAAAATACAAGTTAGCATGCCGCAAAACGGATTTCGTATGAAGTCACGAGAATTGCACTAACTTTGCCCTAATCTATTTGATATTGCACCTTCGAATTCCATCGTATTTTCGGGTGTTCACTATTATTCACTTGCATTCCATAAGTTACCTGCAGTGCTCACGAAGAATTCGAAGTTCACCAGAGTGCACTGATGTCGGGTGACGCGCTAGGCTTCTCAGCATAGCATCTCACATCTCAAGGAGCCGTCGCGCTTGTCCGCTTAATTTGGACTTCTTACGAGCGTACGATTGCTTGTGCTTTGGGGGCTTGGGTCCCAAATCGAGCGACTGGTTTGGACGCGAATTCTCCAACAGTAACTGTTCGCAATCTGACGGATTTTCCTCACTTTATGGTTCGTGACTAGGGAGCGTCATGCAAATTTGCGACGGGTGCAATGTAAGAAGCTACTGCTTGTGAAATATGGACGAACATCTTCCAACCTACGTAACAACCGCTACAATATGACCCTACCTTGGCCAGCTGTCACCCAGTGCGGCTCAGAGGTGAACCAATTACGCTAATCCATTTAGACACCTCAATTTTTTATTTCCTTACTCCGATGGTTGTATACATATTAGGCGCCCTACTTTTCTGAACTCTTGCTACTGAATGTCTGCTCAAATCTTCCCAACAGAAGCGATGAATTTTTTGCAATTGTATTATGTTCTATCAAGCTACTGAACTTTCAGTGGAGAGCCACTATCACCCAATCAATTTGAGATTTCAGAATACGTCATCTCGGTTCATTCAACATCTCAACAACAGCAGCCGAATGCAAAACTTACCCTAGGTCTACTCAAAACTTAGTTGGTTTACCAGAAGCCAAACTAATCTCTTATGTAGTTGCGGTTTTCTACTTTTAGAGTGTTGCCGAACCATGCATAGCCATGTGAGTAAGTACAACGCGTTTTCAAAGCAGTGCTTACAGTGGTTTTTACCAAAATGCTTATAGCTACCGACTTGACCTTATAGATACTACTACTGAACATAGACCTCTTTTGACTACATCATTATTAGAGAGTCCATAGCGGCTCCAGTTCGAGCTGAAATTTAGCACGATGCTTGCAACTTCGTAGCAGGTTTCTCAGTGATTTGTAATCTGTTACTGCAATTAGAAAGAGCAAGCCAATCAACTAGACAACCCAAAGCTAGAGTAAATCAGTTTCTCCCACAAATAACGACCCAGGAGCTACGTTTTCAAGAAATCAGGACTACGAAAATTGAAGCATACAACTTGCTTATACTTCCACTCCTACCCATTGCCCATCCTCCTACTTTCTCGTATAGAAAAATGCACTGAACATTCGCGCAAAATATTAATGCACCTGTAGATCTGGACTCAGCTTCCACAGAAATCAATCTTCGAGTATGGTTTCAGTTTAATTCGCCTTTCTCCTAATCTATCTATCATCATTCGGTCTCCTACTATCGGGCGTTGAAAGACTGATTACTCTTGCAACTACTCACGCATCGGTTTTAAAATCAAGCATTTTACTTTCTCTCATCCAAAAAGGAAACCGATGCATGTGCAGATTTCCGTATCATATATACTCACAGAGCTTTATCTGTTCGAAGTTCACATTAGGTTAAAGATTCAACCGACTTTTGTATCCCTTCTAACTTTTTCTAAAAGTTGCTGCGTGGTTACACCACCGTATTTTGCTGGTCATTTGGTATCTTAGTTAACTAATACGTATACTTGTGCATTTTCAGTCCGCCGTACTGGTTCAGAGCACTGTGAAGAGTTTATCAGATCTAATTCAGTTATTTCGTGAGAGAAGTTTGAGAAAGGAATCTGCTCATGAAAATGGTAACCTTCGAACTCTTGGAATATACTTAGAACCTTAAGGTTCCAGGTAACAATTGTTGCGATATAATAGCCAAGTCATTCACCGGGATGCATCCGCAACGGAGGAAGGACAACAGGGGGCCTGTGAGAAGTAATGAAGCGTTTATGTACATAGATATCCTCGCGTGACTATGCTTACTACTCTATCCATGATTCATAGCAATCCTCCTACTTCATCACGGTGACCAAGTGACGGTCCTAGAGCCTCGACATTTAGTTCCACCGCTGTTTAAATAGTTGCAAGTACTTCAGCTTCTGTTGTTGAAACGATCTCGTTGAGGTGATGTCTTGAATGACTTGCGAGTGGGAATGACGGTTCCTCCATCACATGTACATTAGATTATCAGATGATATTTGCTCCCCGTCCAGAACAAAAATGGTATAGATGCGGAAACATTTCTCGCACTGTCTAGGAAAATGACTTGGATAGTCACTTGCGTCAAGAGCGAAAGATAGCCGTAATACAACGCCGATTTGTATCTCAACCCTTCAGAAATTAAGGACTGATATATTTTGTTTATTTATATGGTTTCATGACCATAGATACTTGACATCACGTTGTCTGTATTACCACTGTCATTGCTCACTTGGCAATTGTCAGACAGCAATTAAGAATCTCCCGGGAAATCCATTATTTCAGAGATAATTGATTGCTAACGGGTATCGCGTCGGTTTCGAATGTTCTAGAATGTTCTAAAGCCTGCACGTGACTAACAACCTTCGTAAAGAACGGACAAATCTATGGGGAACAACTAACCTTGGTATCTAACCTTCTAATTCTGGAAGTAGAAGGTCATGAGGCGACCTATAAATATGACCATGGTCTGCAACCTCTGTACAACTCCTGTTTGACTGCGTTTAACACATTATTTTGGGCAAGGTCGTTCCGACTTTTTCCTTTGGTGGGGTTTGTGTTCGTGCGGAATGGATTAAGTGCAAGTTTCGGAATTGCAACGTGAGTAGATTTAACAGTGATGATGTCTCAGCTCCGGAGCTTATATTCACCATGACACGATAACTTAGTGAGACTTTTCTGTTCAATTCTGTATATACTTCGCTCTTATAATTGCTGGTGTTCGTATACACTTAAATCATTTATTGCATCTCTGATAGTTGTAAGCATACAGTAACTAGTAAGGCCACATTCACATTAAACTTTGGGGACAAATTTAATTGCAAGTGTTCCAGTCTTTCCCTTTCGACTCGTGCGTAGACAGAGCGATAAAAATTTAGGTGGGTTAGGCTGTTTGGTTGCAGACTTACTTGGGAAGCCATGAATCGGTCGTTGCGTAGACTATTCAGCTGTCTGAACAACTGCTCCTGTCCCGCCTCCATCGCCGACAGCCTGGCGTCTGCTTCGTTCATCAACTGTTCTTCGGTTAGTTTAGACTCCACGACAAAATTTAATCGCTCCTGCTGCTCCTGAACTGATTGCCTCAGACGTTCCAAGCTGGAGTTGGTGCAGACGCAGCGGTACTGATTAATCGGTTTGAATATGTTTAGCAAAAGCAGCACACGCATTCTCTGACTGCCCCCACTTTTGTTGTTGATTTACATCCACAATAAACCGACTAACCCAAGTCCCCACGTGTCTGTATGTTGGCACGCTTTATGTCTTTATCTAAGTTGTGGGTTAAAGTTATGAACAGTATAGTTTTGGCTCACTCCAATACACCGTCGCATGTATCCCCAATTACACTCGAACAATGTGACAACGGTTGTTAGTGTGTGAAATTTACCCGACTGTCAAGTTAGCTCTTGAGACAGCTCGTGCTTGAAAGTGAAAACTAGCCACATGACTTTTGCTAGTGCATAATTTTTGGTTGTCTCTCATCAGACTAGCAATTTGGACTTGGATGTTAAGCGTCCTCTTCCTCTTCATGCGTCTTGGGAGATAGGAAGTATGTTCAAAACGAAAGTAGTGAGACGTGAAAGACATTGTTTGACTTGGGTTTTGACTACTGCAAAGGAGGCGCAGCTATACAATAAATTACACGAGAAAGCGATTGATGTGCACTCTCTACGACGCCAGAGGTTTCCGTAAAGAAACTGCTTGGTTATAGTCTACGGCGACCACGGCCATACTCTGCTTAGGTGCAACTGAAGAATTTCCACGTGGTGATACAGAAGAAAAAACCTAATGAGAACTCCTCTGAGCTAATGAGTGATCAGTTCCTTCTAAACAGTAATGGACTGGCTGATGAAGGAGGCTAATCATTTACCGCTTAGTAACACTCCGTGTATCTATAGACATTTCTATCCTGCGCTTTTGGACCTACACGTAACCCCGAGTATTATTCAGAAAATGAGGTTTTTGAATAATTCAAATATCGTGGTTATCATCCAGAATGATACACTATTATCACTGCACACAGACCACTCAAGAGGTGAGTGCATAGTTAGGTTCAATCTGGAATGTGAGCTGGCTGCGCTGCGTCCTCATTAGCATCATGTGCATCAACAACAAAACATAAGCCATTTGAACTGAGAACTGAGCTACCGTACAACCATAACAACGTAGCAACGAAGAATAATAACATGAAGAGAAGGGGGCTTATCGGAAAACCGTAATAACCTAAGCAAGCATTCAGGGTCAAGACGCCTACATCTTGTCAACAACATATGGTCACAAATAACTGGATTCGTGCAAAGGCGGCATCAGGCAGACAGATCCCATGCGGCTTTCATCGCCCCGCGTCATAATCAGCCATTACACCGCAAATAACTCAACACCAAATACACTTTAAACAGGCAACCCGACTAAAAGATAGAGGCAGATACGCTACTAGTGCAAACTGAGTGCCATGCCTCTAACGTCCCAAGTAAACACAAGGTAAGTCACGCGGACTCCAGGATGGAAGGCGAGAGGAGCCGACGGCGCCCAGTTTGGTCGTCAGTGGCTTCATTTCCCGCTGCCAAGTGAGCTTTTTTCTACCTCCAGCTTTGTGCCAGCTCGCATCTGTCAAACAATACAAGGCCATCCTCGGTAATACGTGACCTGGCGTACGTGGTACGTGCCCAAACCAACGTAATTTATTCAATGCTATCTATTGTTTTAAGCTACTAGCTTAGTTTTCACTGCCCAGTACTCGTCTACGCACGTCCCCGTTGCGGATACGTTGGTGTCACCGGATAACAACGATGATCAAAGACTTGAAGGCGCCTCAGGTCGGAAGGAAAATGTCTCACACCCAAAGGATAGGATGACCCTCACTGTGGCTTTGTAAACGCTACCTTTTAGAACGACAGAAACCCTTTCTGGCGCCACAGATGTCGCCAATTCAAGAACGAGGCTCTCGCTCTTGCAATGCTTGAACCGACTTCAGTGGTTATGCACCCATCGTTACTGTTGCAGCTGCCAAGGTTAATGAGTTGAGTAACTACTTCGAGTTCCTCGTTATTAAGTGTCAGGAAGTCATCAAGCGGCTTTTGATCCTGCAACAACACTTTGCAATTTGAATGTGCGAAGCGTATGCTAAAATATGAAACCACTCTAGAGAGGTTATCGGGGGTTGGTTGGGCCATCCCATCATCGTCTGGCAACAAAACAAAATCATCCGCTTAATCAAGGTCAACTAGCCCTCCACCAGGAAGCAACTCAACGCTTGCATCGTGACGCTCTGCAAGGTAACACTCCTTGATGCTCTCCACCACAAAGTTGAAAACAAGGAAAATTGAGCAACCCTTACGAACGCAACTTGCTGTCGGAAAGGCACCTGTGGTGTTTTCATATTACTTCCTACTGTTCATGGCAATTGATTAGTCGTGAACCATATGCCCACTTAGCGGTCGAATGCGGGCTTGTTGCCGATTGGCTTGTGTGAATGATTTAAGAGTCATAACTGTTGTTACGTGTTGATTGTGTCCATACATCCGTTCAGTCTACTGAGTTCCTGTCCTGCTTTCACGGACAGAACAAATTGGCGTCGCGGGCTGCCAATGTCTGTACAGCACACAGCCCCTGCCCAATTCTGGATGGATCTTGTCATAAACCCAACGGTAGAATGTTGGGAGAATTGGAAAATTACTTTCTCGGATTATATTTCGGTTTTACCGATCCTGAACACATCAGTGATGTTGAAGCCAGGGGATACTTTGAAGCTCCTTTGGCCTCATCTCGGTTCTGAAGGTCGATATATATTTAATGCCCTGAATCTTCGCGAGAAGCCCACCCTGAAGGATGCATTCGTGGCTCTCGATAAGCATTAGGGAGGGCATATGAACACATACACTTCCCGCTACAAATTCACCCAGATGAAGCAAACACACAGCGAACATCTGGACAACTTCATATCCCGTCTCCTCTGTTCTGTGAGAAAATGTGACTATGACAGTGTCCCCAAGAAGAAGCTGGAAGAAACGATGCTTATACAGCAACTGATCTCCGGCCTGTCCGATTCTCGGATCAGAGAAAGTCTGTTATTGGTGGACGCTGACAAGCTCTCCTTGGATCGGGCCTGCGATATAGCTCGTGCGAAGGTCGAAGTTAGTGAACGAAGTGAAATTTTTATTTCCACCGTTTCGTCTACTGAGATCGACCGCTTGAACTCTTCACCATCTGCTACGATATCCCATGGCACATTCTGCAGCTACTTAGTAGGAAGAGAACCTGAAGCAGGGAGCCAACTGAAATGCCAACGAAAGTGTTCGGCCAAACGAGCCATACGGCATTCCGTATTGCGAATTATAGCACTCGCGCTGTCTCTGGTTGTTTTACTGAAACCTGGTTTCCTGGGTTTAGTGGTACAAAGCCGCTGGATGAGCTTACGATAATTGGCCACTGCTCCTGCCTCCTCCATTTCTTGAGACTGAGTGGTCCACCAGGCTTCCTTGTCAGCACACACCTAATACTCCGTCTCATAACATTGTTCTCAGAGCCAGCCGGAAATTTTCTCCTGGATTCCAGCATGTTCACCAATCTATCGAATATCCAGCGACTGGCGCGGTGACGATTGATAGTACCACAAGCATATTCTCAAGCGTCATGCATGTCGACCGAGATCCTATTCTGCTAATGTTCAGTGTCATTAGTACGAGGAAGCGAAGGTTCGGTACGCAGTGCACCCCGGTAGGCGTGCCTGACAGAGGGCTGAGATAAATTCTCGGTTTTTAATCGAAGAGTCACTTGATACGCCTCCCGGTAAATTCATGGAAAAACGACAGTCTACCAAGGCATGGTCAGAATCGATGCAAGTGTTACGCCTAAGCGAAACCAGAACCGTCTTATAGTAGTAGGAAAATTTGTAGCAAACGTAAAACGGTGCACTCCACTCAGTACATGTGAGCACGTAAAGACTGTCTGCCACGAGAGTCACATGAACGCGAGAACGATTTCCAGTTCGAAGCGAATCAATAGCGGACACTGTTTGGTTGGCACACAAAGACGTACGCACACAAGTACACGCGATCCTACACAACAGCTTATCTGGCTGAATAGCAGTGGGTGGATTTGGTATGACCGTTGACCATATCATCCCTCCCATCTTTGCTTTGCGCTTACTGGCCTGGAAGCGCTCGACTGGTCGGTGTTGACGATTAGAGCCAGGTAACAAAGGTTCAGTTACTAGTTATGCGTCAATCATCTGCATATCGATCGATGATCGGTATGGCAGATCTGGTTCAGCACTTGTTTCTTGGTTCGATAAGCTTGGTCGCGCATGGTCCAAATGGTGCCTCACGATCCGGCCATCCTCATTTTCTGTTTCTACGATCTGTTCGTTAATTGTTTTGACGACGTCCGGCTCCCACCCAGAGTCTGTAGGTAGACGGACGTAAATAGAGTGTGACTCTGCCACAGTTCTGTCCCTGCTGCAATTATCAAAATCTACCTTCGCCCGTTGTTACCTTTCAGCAACTTGTAACTTACTACTCCATGCAGTGTGTAATCATGTACGCAGGCGTCGATGGAACATTAACTCTGCCGGGATTCTACCTGTTGACTCGTTTGGCGTATTTCGGGACGTGAACGGGGAGCGATCTAAACCCACACGCCGTGGAGCATTTGGTTGTTTTGTTAGCATATTTTCCCTATTTTTAGCGCCCTCTCTGCCAACCCGTTGGAGGATAGGTGATAAAGTGCAGTAGCTATGTGTTCAACGCCGTTTAAGCGAAGAAAGGTAGCAAACTCGGCACTGGAAAAAGCTGACTCATTGTCAAACACTAGTGTTTCGTGAAGACCAAACGTCCCGAACGTTGTGCGCAGTTTACTTATGGTGCTAGCTGAAGTTGCTGAAGCCAGAACGTGGGCTTCAGTCTACTTAGAATGGGCGTCAACCATCAGTATAATCATCTGACCATCGAAAGGACCGAAAAAGTCTACGTGGACGCGTCTCCAGGGTGTTTCTGCTCACTTCCAAGGCTGCGTTGGCGCGTGGGTGACGGCGTTTCGGTTTTCCTGACAGGGTCTGCAACTTCCAAACTTCATGCACTGTCACCGTCCAATTTGGGCCACCACATAAACGCGAGCCAGTGACTTCATTTTGGCAACTGCTTGGTGCGCACCGTGTAGTTCATCCACGATACATGACCGAAATCTTTTGGGGACCATAACTCGTGCGCCCCATAGTAAACATCCGTTCTGGAGGCTATGCTCAGACATCCTATTACGGAAAGTTATGGGCAATCCGACTTGAGCGTCACATTTTACCAGCAACAAAAGTGGAAATCTATCAGTCTCCTGACGGATGTCCGTTGACGTGACCAGGGAATCATTGAGATGTTGAGCAACCTTTATAAAACCTTGTAGAGTAAACTCCTCCGAAGGTATCTCTGGTAAAGGAAGTCGACTAAGAACGTCAGATGTGATATTCTGACGGCCGGAAGTGTACTGGATTATATATATATATCATTCTGGATGAAGCCATCTGTTGAATCCCCTTCTCTCGGCCAAAGAGATAAACGGGAAATCTATGATCCGGTTAGATCACAAAAGGTCGACCAAGCAAACGTTGGTTAAATCTAGTAATACTGAAGATAACAACTGCCGCCTCTCGATCAAACTGCGAGTAATTTGGTTCTGCTGCTGTCAGTGTGCTTGAAGCGTAAGCAATGGGTCGGTGGTAGCCCTCCGGTAATTCTTGCAGTAAAAGAGCTCCAAGACCTTTGGCTGAAGCATCATAAGAGAATACAATAAGCTTTTGCTGCTCGTAATGCACAAGAAAATCTGCAGATGGCAAAAGCTTTTTAACCACCGTGAAGTCATTTTCATGAATCCTGTTCCAATTACAATTTTGGTTTTTACCGAAGATTTGTTGAAGCGGATGTAAATGTGTTGCTGTCTATAGCATGAACCGGCATGACCAATGAACGTATCAGCAAGTAATCCAGAACTAGTGGCAATCCAGGATGAAAGCACGCCACGTGTAACTTATGGCAATGTGTTCTATTTGGATTCATCGCTGGTCAACTGTAAACGAACGGCGAGTGGCATTTCGGCGCCCAGTGTGCTTAAAAGCGGTGCTACTAAGAAACAGTTGGTGCTCAGCACACAGCTGTAACATTCGCTCGCCGTTGTCGGTGCTGTGGGAGTTAAGTTCATACTTGCCTCCCATCTGTGCTTCTGAAGCTCCAAGGCGACTTACTTGGATATTTACATACCCTGCGAGAACAAGGAAATCTGAACTGGTAACACCGCGAATCAGCGTGTTCAGTTCGTGGTGTAAGGTGTCATTTGCAGCATCAGCACTGCAGTCAGTTGGGGTATTAGCGGAAACCATACACAAACAGCTTCTCGTAATATTTCCCGAATCAACCTTAGTTAATGTCGTCAAGTAGGCTGCTCACAAACAGCTGTTTATGGAATGCAAACAACTAACTACAACTCAGCCTTGGAGCTGCGAACGATGCTCACCCCAGCTTCGCCTGTGGTTGCCTCATCAACGTCTCCGAATGCGTGCAATCAATATCGAGTAGACGTGCCGGGGCAGTTAATTCAACACCGCCGCGAACGTCATGGATCCTAGTTTCGGATACGCAACACAAGTCAATACCCAGTGTGTCCAATGTGCGTACAAATGCGGCCAGTTGATCTATTTGTCTTAGAGTGTGGACGTTGAACGCCGCCATGGAAACGAGACAACGTGGAATTATCAGGGGCCGCTGCTGATGGGCATCCAGTGGGTGGTGCAGGAAGGTAGATGCATACGATGTGACTCCAGTGGCTTTGCGACTGATGTCAATTAGGCTGGGAATCAAAGAATGAAGGTTATTCATAGGGCTTGGGATGGGAGTAAGAGAAGCAGGTGAAAAAGCAAATAGGGGGAGGGCAGCAGTAACAATTTTCGCCTATCCGCCCTGCTGTACACAGCAGATAAGGTGACGCTTGATAACCTGCGTGACGGCCTATGGATAACGTGGCTGATTCTTAAAGTAATGTACACAGTGGTGCGTGGGCTGAGATACCAGCAGGAGACCCAGACCTACAGGTGAACGATTATGGTCATTAACCAAGGCATTTGTCTCGAAAGTTTGTCCGAAAGTTAACGATAAGGTGACAATGATTTGGTTTTACAGAAATGGACACTATGCGATTTACAATGTCGAACCTTGCAGAACAGGACTTTGCGTTAGTCTGACGTCTAATCATTGACCAACAGTAAAAGTAGCTGGCAAAGGGTCCATGGGCACCACGCACTATATCTAAATGTATCAATGTGGTACGCAAACCGTCGCACCACGTTCAGGTTCTCACTAGCTGCCACTTGACTGTAAGCTGGATTAATCGGGTCGCGGCTGCTGTATGCTACCCTCTATCGTTGTAGACTATCGTTAACCATGCTTATTTGTCACTTCTTTTAAAGGCATCAGGTTCCATCTGGACTACCAAGAGGTGGTACATTGAGCTGCATAGCATTTTACGGTAGTATAACCTAACGGTTTCATGATCGCACGATCAGTAGATGTCCCCAATTGCGTGCAATGACTCATTAACCTACTTTTATTGCATTGCATTTGCTACCAATGTGTCGACATCGCGGAATCTGGCATTAAATTTCTTAGACTTTAGTGCACTTCATTTTGGAAATTGAAGAATCTATTGAAGAATGAGTAATAGAGAAAAGTTCTCTCAACATTGCAAGCACCGGATGGAACATCGCACTTGCCAAATTTGGCTTCAATTTTCGTTCGAACTCTGCTGCTAAGAATTTCTATTCAGCCAAATAGTATACATTTTAAATGTGCTAACATTACCAAGCGCAAATATGTGCTTTCAATTGCTGTCGCTATTTTGTTGACACTCACCATTTGCTCTTGCTCGCTTTCTCCCTCCTCATTTGATGCATTCTTGAACGAGCCGATTCTAGGTCGTGAGCAGATTTGTTCACAGAATTCTTAAGCGCAGTAAGCTGTCGAAATTGAAATTTTTAACGATTCTTGCAGCAAGCTAATAACGTATGTTGGGTGTACTCATGCTATTTAGTCTATGAAAATTTTCCTGGGGAAAATATACCTATTACCTACCTCAATACCAAAGTTCCGCTCTCGTTCTTCCGCTTCTTTTAGCTCTGATTTTGCATAACCAACAGCATGCACTGTGTCATCGAGCAGTCGCTCCGCCTCCTTGGCGCTGATTTCTTGCTCTCTGAGAAAAGCGCTTCGTTCCTTAATGATAGCTTTGCTTTGATCTACTAGCGTTTGCGTCTCGTTTATTCGCTGAACAGGGAGAGAGATTAGTGCAATGAGATTAAGCAACTCATATAATATTTAAAAACTTATCATCGCCTCAAAATGTACAGTCGCATACCAGGCAAGATATGTACAACACCCAACATTCACATCCGCAGCGCTTCGCAGAGCAACAATGATTAACAGGGTTCATGAAATCGGATTCCAAGCATTCACCATGAATAATGGATCAAGCGTAAATAAAATTAGCCCATAACCCATGGAAACAATGGAATAAGGTACTGTAAAAAACAAAACAAACCTGACTGATTCATGGGGCATGCCGACATACAGCAACCCCAAAATTCCCATTCATTAAAATCAAGGGAGGTAGAGTGTGAGTACAGAATTCTTTTCGGTAATTCTCATCAGACTCAAACATTAGATAATGACGACAAAGTGCTATATCTGCCAGATTGTACTGCGTGTTGATCAGAATGTTTAATGCCAGCAGAAACAAATCAAGCAATCACGGGCTCATTGCAGGTGACAAAGTATGTACAGGTGACAATCACAGCAGATGTTGTAGACCACGGTAGAAGTAAAGGACGTACAAACTGTTGTACGCACAATTCTGGCTTGAGGTGGCGGATGTAGATAGCTTCCGCAATAGACAGCAGTTGCTTCCGTAATCCACGCGAGAAACGTTCAGTGATAGTATAGAAGACTCTGAAATTATTTTCCGTCCCTGTGTGACCGCAATCTAGAAGATGCGATCAGACGGAGCTGTTACTAGACCTCGCTTCGCCTTTGCGAAACCACCTCGGGAGGTGTTCGCGAATCCAGTGAGATAGGCGCCTGGTAGTACGACCAACGTATCGTACAACACAGGACCACGATTAATGCTAAACAAGCATTGATCGAGTCATCGGTGGCAGCCTGTCTCCCAAAGGTTTTGCGAACAAAGGTTTGTTGTAAAATACTATGCGTAAGCGAGCCGCGAAACAGGTCTTTTCAACAGCGTCTTTCAGGTGTTTGGACAGGGCATCAGCCGCACTGTCGCCTTTGAAGGGAAAATGCACAACTAGTTTTTTTTGGGCACGTTCATCCCCGGTGGTTTCATCTTGCGTTCTTTCAAATGCTTGAGGATGAATTTATCTGGATACCCATTCGCCCTTAGCGCATCACCGATCCTCTGCCATTCTTTGGTGATTGTGTCCGATGTGCATATTCTGTGTGCCCGGAAGACAAGAGTGCGGACTAAATTTCGTTTGTACTGTAGGAATACCGCACTATAGAATTTGGTGTACTGTCCAGTCCAAGTTGGTTTTCTGTTCACTGCTCTGCTGCACGATCCATCAGTGTTTCTGCGGATATCAATCTTCAGGAACGGTACTCGGTTCCCGGACTCGTGCTCACATGTGAATTGTAGATTCTGATGCGCATCATTAAAGGCTTCCAACGGCTTCACAGTCCGCACTTAGGATTTGCAGAGCATAAAGGTGTCGTCCACATAACGTGTATACAGCCCGACTTCGTTGATGTGCGTAGTTTATGCGTTATGCTCTGATTTTTCCAAAAAGCCATCTGCTAGAATGGGTCCCAATGGTGATCCCATGGCAACTCCATCAATTTGACGATACATCTCCCGTTGAAGGTGAACTGCACGTTTAAGGTGCATCTGAGTAACGATTCCTTCAGAAGGTTTTCCGGGAGATGTATAAGCCCATTCAGTTGCCGCACAAGTTCGCAAACATATTCCACTGATTCCAACAACGGAATATTTGTAAACAACGACTACGCATCAAATGATGACATCCATTTGTTGTTAACGTTCACGCCCCTTATCTTCCCAATGCGGTATCTCTTAGACTTTAGTGCACTTCATTTTGGATATTGAAGAATCTATTGAAAATGAGTAATAGAGAAAAGTGCTCTCAACTCTGCAAGCACCGGATGGAACAAGCACTTGCCAAATTTGGCTTCAATTTTAGTTCGAACTCTGCTGCTAAGAACTTCTATTCAGCCAAATAGTATACATTTTAAATGTGCTAATGTTACCAAGTGCAAACATGTGATTGCAATTGTCGTTGCTATCTTGTTGACACTCACCTTTTGCTCTTGCTCGCTTTCTCCCTCCTCATTTGATGCATTTTGGAACGAGCCGATTCTAGGTCATGAGCAGATTTGTTCACAGAGTTCTCAAGCGCAGTAAGCTGTCGAAAATGAAATTTTTACGATTCTTGCAGCAAGCTAATAACGTATGTTGAGCGTACTCGTGCGATTTAGTCTATGAACATTTTCCTGGGGAAAATGTACCTATAACCTACCTCAATGCCAAAGTTCCGCTCTCGTTCTTCCGCTTCTTTTAGCTCTGTTTTTGCAAAACCAACAGCATGCACTGTGTCATCTAGCTGTCGCTCCGCCTCCTTGGCGCTGATTTCTTGCTCTCTGAGAAAAGCGCTTCGTTCCTTAATGACAGCTTTGCTTTGATCTACTAGCGTTTGCGTCTCGTTTATTCGCTGAACAGGGAGAGAGATAAGTGCAATGAGATTAAGCAACTCATATAATATCTAAAAACTAATCATCGCCTCAAAATGTAAAATTCCATACCAGGCATGATATGCACGACACCCGACAATCACATCCGAAGCGTTTTGCAGAGCAACAATGATTAACAGGGTTCATGAAATCGGATTCCAAGCATTCACCATGAATAATGGATCAGGCGTTAATGAAATTAGCCCATAACCCATGAAAACAATGGAATATTTTCGTAAGACATTGTAAAAAAAAAACAAAATAAACCTGACTGATTCATGGGGCAAGCCGATATGGAGTAATCCGAAAATTCACATTCATTGGAAACAAGGGAGGCAGAATGTGAGAACAGAATTACTTTCGGTAATTCTCATCAGACACAAACATTAGATAATGACGACAAAGTGCTATATCTGCCGGATTGTGCTGCGTATTGATCAGAATGTCTAATTCCAGCAGAAACAAAGCAAGCAATCACGGGCTCATTGCAGGTGACAAAGTAGGTACAGGTGACAATCACAGCAGACGTTGTAGACCGCAGTAGAAGTAAAGGACGTTCAAACTGTTGTACGCACAATTCTCTAGTGTGATTGACTTTAAAAAAGTAAGGGGCGTGAACTTTAACAACAAATGGATGTCATCATTTGATGCGCAGTCGTTGTTTACAAATATTCCGTTGTTGGAAACAGTGGAATATGTTTGCGAACTAGTACGGCAACTGAAGAGGCCTATACATCTCCCGGAAAACCTTCTGAAGGAATCGTTACTCAGATGCACCTTAAACGTGCAGTTCACCTTCAACGGGGAGATGTATCATCAAATTGAAGGAGTTGCCATTGGATCACCATTGGGACCCACTTTAGCAGATGGCTTTTTGACAAAATCAGAGCATAACGTGCAAACTACGCACATCAACGAAGTCGGGCTGTATATACGTTATGTGAACGACACCTTTATGCTTTGCAAATCTTAAGTGCGGACTGTGAAGCCGTTGGAAGCCTACAGTACAAACGAAACCTAGTCCGCACTCTTGCGTTCCGGGCACATAGAATTTGCACATCGGACACAATCACCAAGGAATTGCAGAGAATCGTCGACGCGCTAAGAGCGAATGGGTATCATCCTCAAGCATTTGAAAGAACGCAAGATGAAACCACCGGGGATGAACGGGCCCAAAAAAGAACTAGTTGTGCATTTTCCCTTCAAAGGCGACAGTGCGGCTGATGCCCTGTCCAAACACCTGAAAGACGCTGTTGAAAAGACCTGTTTCGCGGCTCGCTTACGCATAGTATTTTACAACAAACCTTTGTTCGCAAAACCTTTGGGAGACAGGCTGCCACCGATGACTCGATCAATGCTTGTTTAGCATTAATCGTGGTCCTGTGTTGTACGATACGTTGGTCGTACTACCAGGCGCCTATCTCACTGGATTCGCGAACACCTCCCGAGGTGGTTTCGCAAAGGCGAAGCGAGGTCTAGTAACAGCTCCGTCTGATCGCATCTTCTAGATTGCGGTCACACAGGGACGGAAAATAATTTCAGAGTCTTCTATACTATCACTGAACGTTTCTCGCGTGGATTACGGAAGCAACTGCTGTCTATTGCGGAAGCTATCTACATCCGCCACCTCAAGCCAGAATTGTGCGTACAACAGTTTGTACGTCCTTTACTTCTACCGTGGTCTACAACATCTGCTGTGATTGTCACCTGTACATACTTTGTCACCTGCAATGAGCCCGTGATTGCTTGATTTGTTTCTGCTGGCATTAAACATTCTGATCAACACGCAGTACAATCTGGCAGATATAGCACTTTGTCGTCATTATCTAATGTTTGAGTCTGATGAGAATTACCGAAAAGAATTCTGTACTCACCTTCTTCCTCCCTTGAATTATTTAAATTCACCCATCATACAGACCTTGCAGACAGCGTCTGAGTGACTTCGAAGCACTGCTCGATGTTTCCTCTCTAGTTACCACCTTACCATTGGATTTGTGCCCTTCTCTGCTTTTGTTACGTGCATTTCAGTTGTAAGCGCAATGTTTCATTTATCTTTCCTACGGAATATGCCGCGTAGCTTGTCAGTCGGGTCAAAATTTCTCATAAAGCAAGTTGTTGACTCAGCGGACTGCTTTGCGCTGTCCGAATGGTGAACCGTGTTTGAGGTATTCGCTTTTGACGAGCCCTAGTGTATTGACGTGATAGCAGATTTTCTGTTGTGTTCCTACGAATCATTCATTAACTGGCTCACGTGAAATCGTCGTTCTACTTAGACGCCATGATATATTTTGGAGCCAGTATTCGTACTGGTATGTCTCCATTTTTGTAATAAATACACATGCGCGGTTAAGTTTGACTAGCTGCCAATGGAGAGCCTACACTCCACTATACGACAAAGCTAACTGAAAGGGTTTGCGTTCAATTTTGTGACCTTATTTGTGGTGTACCATTCATCTAAGCTTACTTTAATGCTGGGGTTCACGTAGCGCATTAATGGACAAGCGAATGTTGGCAAAAACACTCAAAGCCCATAATTACGACAAGGATTATTTGTTCTTCAATCCAACATCCTGTATCACCTGTTGGACTATTGCCCTTCGACAGTACTCCTGGTTTTTAAATCAGCACAAACGATTAAAGTAGGTTTTTGCCCATCTGTGCAAGCGTGCATGCCATGTAGGAGGCATGTTATCGTTCGAAAGATAGGGCCCACCGGAATTAAGAGTGCTACCATGACTTCCTACTGACTGATGCTCAGCGTCAAGCGAGTATCAGTCATGGCAACTGCACGCTCTTCAGTGACCATACAACAGCCAAACATGCACACCATGGCACGATAACTTTTAAACATATTTATCTCAACCACTGCAAATTACCCTCTTACATCAGTCAGCTGCCGAAGGTTTTCGTCGCGATCCTTCATTCGTTTTAACACGTGCTCCCATTGCGCAATCAACATATCACGCTCCTGATGGGCTGTCTTCGTCTCCTCACACCTTCCAGCCAGGCTGAGCTGATACGTTTGTGCTCGTGTATAGGTTGTATCCAGCTTATCTTTCTTTAACCTCACAGTGCTTGTCAGTCGTTGCATTTCTAAGGTTAAATCCTAAAGAAGAACGATGCGATACACATGACTTAATACTTTCAGCTGTGATGAGTCCTTATGAATGTATTTTTCCATCAGCATGACGTCCTTGTTTTTCGCTTCGTTAATTTGGATCAACTCGTCCAAAGTTTTCTTGTCAATATTCAATTCTGAAGAAACTTTCTCTAGTTCAGCACTTTTTGTAAAGGTAGCGTTCTGAAAATTGGAACGTTAAAGGCAACAACATGCCTCCAGACTGCTCATCTTTTCTTGTACCTCCTGTCGTAATTTTTTGAGGCATAGCATCTGTTGTTGTAGCTTCCCTTGTTCCCTCTCCGTCAGCCTACACTGGTGATTCTCGTCATCAATCTCCTTCCGCCGTAGCTCACATAAACCAGCCGTATAAGTGATTTCTTGCTTGACATTTTCCATGTGATCAACCAATCGTTGCACTCTACTTCTCTCCAATTCCAGCTCCGAATTACGTTCATGAAGCTGCTGTTGTAGCTGCTCCAACTGAAAAGGGTTAACGAGAATGAATTAATCATTTACTAGTTTAGGATACACACATAGGAAAACTACAAAATGTATATTAGCGTGGTTAAAAATGGCGCAGCGAAATGGACTCGGTTCTACGTCCTGACACTTATTGGTCCACAAAACAAAATATGCCACAATACTTGCCATCTAAAGGGCCAAACAAAAGGGTTATGGCGAAACTAGTTAAACTAGAAGCATTTTATGCGACCGAGCTACAACATGCTCTATTTTGATATGTATGAGGGAAGATAAGCAGAGAAGGGCCCTCCAGACATTTGTGGACACAAGCAATCCACTTACCACAAGTGTGGCAAGATTGGACATATCACGCGTGTTTACTGCTCAACAGTGCTCCCACGTCGTGTAGCTTAGACTCTACCGAAAACTGTCAGGACAGTAGAGCATTCTGTGGAGTCCATATCTTACTTGCTTTCATATACTGACACATTGCATGTGCGCGGAATATCCCCACGCACTGTAGAATTTGAAATTGAAGACCAACTTGTGCGCCTAGAAATCAGGACGAGGGCCTCAGTCACGTTGTTCAACAATCGCACACTGCCAGACCTGTATTTGGTCAAGACCCCATCTACCTTGCCTTCATACACTGTTAAAGCACTTGAGGTACTATGGCTTTGTGAAGTAAAGGTTGCTCGTGGGTAGACACCTTTACATTTCCATTACTTGTTGCTACACTGATGGCCCCAAATTGCTTGGTAACAACTGCCTGAAACATTATCCGGAAGTAGTTCAAACCAGCAGAAAGGGCATCACATTCCAAAAATGCCTTCGTTGTTGTGAATGTCCAATTGCCTGTTTGATGAAACGTTGCCCTGTAAACTGCGTGCTTTCCAAGTTTCTCTATATCAGACCGAACGCCCAGCAGAAAATTTTCAGAGCAAGCAGCTTACCTTTTGCTCTCCGTCCGAAAGCTGATTTATGGCTGGAGCTCGTCTAAATTGACGGAATATTATCGCCTGTTCAATACTCATCTTGGGCCACGCCAATGGTTCCGAAAAAAGTAAGTAAATAAATCACCAGCTGTACGCCGTAACGTCGCTTCGCTGCCACGCGACCACCAACAGTCGCGCGTGAGCTGGGTATACCGCGTGGACGCCCGCCGTTACGCGGATTCGAACCGGTGACCTTATGGTTGCAAACCAGACACGCATACCACTCGGCCACCGGCCGACAATGGTTTCAGTACCAAAACCCGATGACGTCGCCCGTGTCTTTGTTGATTATATACGGACTGTTAACCAAGTGACGACGTCAGAACACTACCCTATTCCACGGATAGATGACTTCGGTCAAGCAGTCAGAAGTTTCCCAAACTTGCTTTAAGCCAAGAGTACTCCCAAGTAGAGTTGCATGAATCCGCCAGAGAGAGATTGCGGCATTCAGTTCCAGAGTTGTCTGTCACTGCGGCCTCTAGAAGACAATCATACTACGCCTGCGCCTACAGAGAGACCAGGAGTGGCTTGCGCTGAACCACTCATTGTTCCTTCCAAACACCCCATATCCTGTGTAAACACGAAAAATAAGACTGGAAAGCCTGCAGATGGGAGCCAGGTTTCAGCAACGGATTCGGCTCACACTCCTTCAACAAGCAGAATCGAAGCATTCATGCACAAGTTTGAAACCATGCGTACCAAAAGTACACAAGTCAATGGCTGGACTGGAGTCCGTTCCAAACTGGTTGTAGGAAATCATACTTTGTGCCTTAGCGTGGTCACGAAGACCGTGCACTCTATCCCCTCTAGCAAAGAGCAACGGTCTCCTGGATGCAAGGTAATCAAGGTAGTGTGTAACGGACAGGTAGGCACCTTACCAACATTCACATCAACCGCAGCGACATCTGGGATGTCAGGCAACAGCTGTTCAAGCGAAATGACAATATCAAATAAAAGAAATCGAATAAACCATAAGGACATGCCGATATAATTCTGTGTTAAATTAACAGGGTGATAACAACTATCAATACCCACATGTGTTTGTTCCGCCACAACAGACTTCTATTCGAAATAAATTCAACACCGGCAGCGTTGCAGAAGATTCTTGACACTTTAGGGTAAGAAATACCCGCTGTATGCGCTTATTTACATTACAATAATTTCTGGTCACGCTGACTGCGAACACATGACGTCGCTTTCGGCGTTATTAAATGTTTTCAAAACAGTGCACTCAAGCTGTAGAAATCGAAATGGGTAATTTTTGCGGACGGTTTTTAGTACCTTAGATTTCATACGGATGAACACGGTTTGCATCCGCTAAGAGGAAAAACTCCAACTCAGCCTGAACTCTCGGAGACGGCGCGAGATCAGGGAGTTGCAATTCTTTCTGGGTATGCTAACATACTACAGTCCCTTTTTACCTTATTTGGCCACCACCCTCGCAACCCTGTACGCTTCACTACGAAAAGCGATAAGCGGCAATGTTGAGTTCAAGAGCAAAAGATTTTCGTTGCTATCAACGTAGCCATGGATATGGCTAATCTGCTAGTTCATTTTGATCTGATGAGGGCTATCACTCACCGATGTGAGGCCCCAGCATTAGGGCTTGACGTTGTACTATCTCACAGGATGGATGCTCAGACCATAAGACCCATTGCTTTTGCCTTTAGGAGCTTAGCGCCGGCAGAGAAAACTACGCATAACTGGATAAGGAGATGTATTGGCAGTTATATTCGGTGTTAGACAATTTCAAAAGTATCTCTGGGGAAGTAGTTTTGATGTCTTTACTGATCATAAACTCCTTTTAGCCTTGATTGATGGACATAATGGCATCAACTAGATATCATCACCCTGCACATAACGTCGGGCTTACTCCTGTCGTTTACGATTATTCCATCCCTTATGTGTCCATGGAAAAGCAAGTGCGATTGCAGATACTTTGTGTCGGTTGCCATTGAAGCACCTGCCAGATATTTATTCGAACCGGCTGAATTAGTTCACTTAATTAACAATGTGTTATCACGGGATAAAAACAAGTGCTTGACACGTCCCGTAGGATGGTTGGGGTGAATCCGATGAAATCAAAATATATGCGGGTCATCTGCCGATCGACTTCCAATGTGAATGCTTTGATAAATAACGTCAGTGAAATAAAAAGAGTGAAAGTGTGCAGAGTTACACGGGATGTAGTGATCGTAGATGTAAGGCGTGAGAAAAGTAAAATATGGTCTCTCACTTGGATCCATTTACTACATATATCTTGTAAAAGGGCATGATTGGTGTAACCACAATAGCGTAGTTTAGGTAATGTAGTGCTTGGAGCTAAGAGCAACATTTAATCGTCTTTTGTGAAGTTTCAAGGTAGGGGAGGATACAACTGGGTTTGGGAGTGCGTTCCATGGTTGGCAAACGCAAAAGGAAATGTAATTACGTCAAAACTAGACGGCTATATTGTTCACTTCATTTCAAGCTGTTATCTCTGAGCTGCGTGTTGCGGCTAAGTTTCAGCGAATGGCAGCATAAGTGGTTGGGGTCACCCAATATTTGGTACGCTACTATGAGATCGCCGCACATCCTTCGACAGCGTCTGCTGAAACTTCCCAGCAACTTCAGCCTTCGGTAATACGAGTGCTAGCGCAGGCCCTTTACATTCTTTGTTGCTCTTCGTTGTGATGCTTTTAAGTCCTGTAGGTCGCGATTCAACCAAGGTTGCGAGGGTTGGATAGCGTATTCAGCGTGCGTGCGCACCTAGGAATTGTGTATCCTTGGGAAGATTGATGGGTCAAATCTCCCAAATTCCCTTCGCAGCATGCCGACGTGCTGGTTGGCTCTTTTCGCAGATTCCTCAGCCTGTTTTTAACAGTTAAGGTAACTCTGTACGAGCACACCAAGGTCCCGTTCGTGGGAGCTGGTCTGCAATCCGTCTGCCCCAAGCAAATACGTGTAGTCATGTCTATGGCCTAACTGCACAACGCAACCTTTGTTTACGTTAAACGGTAGAGCGTTTTGAACTGAGCATTATAACACTGTGTTAAGATCGTACTGGAGCAGTTCGTGGTCGTCCGGTCCTCTTGTCATTCGCATTACCTCGATATCATCCGCGAAAAATAGGAAATCGGAAGCAATTGATCTCGCCAAATCGTTAAGGAACACCAAGGGTAGTCGAGGCCCTAGCACCGAGACTTGTGGTACACCAGGCACCACAACGATTGCATCGGACAGAGTTTCCTGGACTCTCACCCCCAACCATCGTTCGTGCAGAAAATTGATTATCCAACACGGGATTGGGTCGCCAATACCGAAGTTCCGAAGCTTCTGAAGAAGAATTCGATGGTCTAAGCGATCAAACGCTGTGAGAAGTCCAGGTAGATGGCATTGACTGCTGTTCCATCATCAACGGCTTCAGTCCAGCTATTACGTGTAATTACGAGGTTAGTGTTACTTGAACGCTTTTGCCGAGAGCCATGTTGCTCTGGAGCTACTATGTTGTGGCTTTCCAGATACTGCATCAGCGTATTTGCGAAGATTGATTTCATAACTTTGGATGGCAAAAGAAGTAGCGTTACTGGACGGTAGTTGTTAGGGTCATTGCGGCTACCTGCGTTCCAATCGCTCATCTGTGAACAGGTTGTTATGCCATCGTTCTCAGCTGCATTTTGTCACACATGTGTGTTCTCACTCATTCAACCCAGATTCATCTGCGCTATCTAGTGCACTTCATTC